TAGCCAGGCATTGTGGCAGGTTCAGTCCCAGCTACTCAGGAGGCTGAGGCAAGAGAATCACTTGAGCCCAGGAGTTTGAGGTTGCAGTGAGCTATGATGACACCACTGCACTGCAGCCTAGGTGATAGAGCAAGACTGTCATCTTAGGAAAATGATAATTTTGTCTGGGGGTTGCTTCAAAATAATCCAGTGGGAAGTGCATGGGAGAATGAATAAAAAGCTTGACAAGTGATAATTGTTGAAGCTGGCCAGTGGATACAAGGAGTATTATGTCATATTCTTTATTTTTGTATGTCTTTGACAATAAACTTTAAAAATGATCCCAGAAAACAGGGGAAAATGATATCAAGTATGTATAAATTTATGATGCATTTGGACAGGAAATTCCCTGTGCAGGCATGTTGCTGTCCCTCAACATGTGTTTAGTTTTGCAGGACCAGACAAAAGCAAACTCACTGAGGACCAGAGTGGGTGAAGCAGGCATTGAAAACACAGAATCTGCGGTCTGGAACCCTGCAGCTGAGCAAGAGCAGCCAGAGATTTCATCAGTTCTGCTGCCCAGGAAGCTTAGGACCCGCAAGTGCGCACGGATACTCAGATAGCTGTCACCATAACCCGAATCTCTGGCTTTATGGGCCAAGAGTGGGCTCCATGTCCACGAACCTGTACCGATGGGCCTAAGGGTACACAAGTGAACCGGACTCTTAAGTCCACGAGCGGGACCGAGATGGCCGCCCCTCCCTTGCCCCCCGTCCCGTGGCTTAGAAGCGGGGAGGGAGAACCGACCGTCTTTGGTAAAAACAGAGGCGAGTTCTGGGACTGTTCACCTTGGGGGACCAGACATCTCCCAGACACGTCTCAGCTGCCAGCGAGGCCCGAGATACCGAGATGCAAAATGACCTGCCGACTTCCTAGAGGGGCTGCCGCAGCCCCACAAGCCCCTCCGCGGCGAGACTATGACGCACTTCCGGTCCCGCGGTCCCGCGGTCCCGAGGTGCGTGGTGCGTTCTCCCGGCTCCTGGGGCGGCTCTGACTCGCGGTGAGCCTGCGGGTACCCGGTTAGCGTGGCGCGCAGAAGATGGGGCCTTGGCTGGAAGGTTTGGGGAGGAAGGAGCGGGCTTAGCATTTGTGGCCTCGGGGACGCCCCTAGACCCGTGCTAGGAGGGATGTGGGGACAAGCCCTCCTGCCCCGCCCAGCTTCAGCCCCAGCTGGTGGAGGCGCCGACTCCGTGGAAAGCCTTTTTGCTCCACCCAGGGCTTTAACAAATGAAACCTTGTCTCTAGGGCGTTCTAGAAGAGTTTTCCGTGCGCTGCCTAAGACGTGACGTCTATCAATCTGACCGTGGCCGCTTTTTTTTCTCTTTTTCTCTGAAGCAGGGATCTTAACTGGAGGCTGATAGATGGGAAGATGCGCCCAGGGGTTGGGAACCTCATTAGAGATCTTGGGTAGTGTCCAGTCTAAGGGAGAGACTAGTCCCCCGGGGCTTTATTAATGTTAGAAGACATAAACGTAGCAGGGATCTGCTCAAGTTTAGAAACACATTTTTAGGAAACCATTTATAGACTGTCAAGAGAAGGGTGATTTGGTGGGTGAGGTACTTGGAAGCTCACCCGTTGAACTGTGCAAGACGCTTGTTTTCAAGTATAGAAAGCTAGTATGGAGAAAATGAGTGTGGGTCTAGGACCAAACTAGGATCTTTGACGTGGTGCAGAATTTGGTTCAGCAAAAAGAAGACCTCGTAACAAGTGGAACCATCCATTAGTAGAATTCGGTGCCTCAATAATTAAATCTAATTTGCCTGCCTAAGAGTTACAGTGAGAGAAGTATTGAAGGCATTCTAGCACTAGTTGATGAGTGCTGTTAAATTGTTAAAATCTATGATAATTTGATTTTTCATTTCTTTATTTTTGAGACAGAGCCTCAAGCTGT